CGAGAATTATGAAACCATTTTACGTCATTTCATCAATCTTCACTGTGTTCAAATTTGTGTCACAACATTAATTTATCTCTTTGTACAAAAACAACTAATAACCTATATTATTATTGCTGTATACTTTATCGTTAACATGAGTCTGCCTTTTAGGAAAGATTTTTTTCATAGATTACAGGCAGAGCCGGCCTTAGGGTAAGGCAACCAAATTTTGCAGTGGCTGCGATAAACTCTGATCTAAGGACAAACAACGATTTTAGGTGTTCTTACAGACTATTTATTGATGTTCAGCATAAGATCGTTAAATTGGTCTCAACCATTTGAAAGTGCTTTTTTTAAATATCAGTACCCGATTAAAAATCATGTAGAATTTTCCAAAGTTATTTATTTCGCTGTAAAGATGAATAAATGATATAATTTTTTATTTTGATGAGACTTGATTCCTCTTGTAGAAGGATCTAGAACATGCTGATCACTAGCGACTTCAGTCTAAATATCCTGAGCATTTGCTCTCACAATCTAAAAAAGTTATTTTACTAGGCTGATTTAATGCTTTATACCGTTGTTTTTATCCTAATACATAGTCATTTATGTAATCGATTTAGGAGAACTGTTTTCCATTTTGCATTTTTTTTTACTGTCTTTGACCTAATGTTTACGACGCCAATTACACAGGCATGTGAATTTAAACTTAATAAAAGTTGTTTCAATAACGGATTTTCCATAATTCAACAATACAGATTTCGAAAATAATATTCATTTTTTTTCTATCATGTAAGGAATGTTTGCAAATCGGGAAAAAAAACAAACTCTTAGATTAAAAATTATTATTTCGTTTACCACAATGAACATTTTTTATTATCATGTTTGGGTTCTAGAACGATCGGTAAGACTTTTACGTTGCAATTGGTCTATAGAAATCTATATCCAGTGGTTGTCAACATTTTAAGCATAACGAAATGTGACCCGATTTCAGTGAAAATAATCCACTTTTGTAAAAGTACATATGACGTTTTATGAAAATTCTGTGCGCGATAGAGAAAAATGAATATCATTTTCGGATTCAGCGTACAGGAATTACTGTAGAACCCGTCACAATTTCAAGACAATAAAACCATCGCAGGCCTGTGTAATTGTACTGCATACGAATTACATTAGTTTATAGAAGAGAATCTCGTGAAAAAGCTGGAGTCCATGAACTGTTATACACAAGATGAAAGTTTCTAAATAGATGAAGAACAATCTAGGCAAGGAATAATCGTTGACGGTTGAAATACGCAACTAAGCTTAAGCTAAATAGTTAGTGTTTTATATCTTTACATAGACAACTTATACACTGTTTTTGCATACTGTTTAAAACTCTTCCAGAAAAATAGTCATTAAAGATGTAGAATTGATTCTGAAAGCATTCTGTCGCAAAAGATAAATGCATCAGTAAATATTTTGAAATTTACAAAATCAGAAATGTTTATCTAATATATACTTTTGTTTCAGGTGCAATAGAGTTGAAATTATTTCCTGGATAATATCACTATATAAGAAGACGGCTTTCACTGTTCCCAACATTTGTGCACGAACACCATTTCACAACATCTTCCCCTACAAATAAAGCTTGTCTCTCACAGTTATAGGAGACTGTAACATTAATTGTTTGTTACGAAATTCTCATTGGAGAGTTCTCTGTTCAAAGCCTTTCTCAGCACGAAGTATCATTGTTGTTGCATAGGCGTCAACCCCCCCCCTTCCCCCCGATTCACAAACATTATATTAACGTTATGTAAACACCAAATTCAGATATTTTAGAGTTTTTCAGGTAAAAAATACAAAAACTATGAATAAAAACAAAAATATGCGATTTTCTTCACACTTCTATAATGCAATTCAATTTCTGGATCTGAATGTGGTAGCAGCTTCAATACAACGTTCAATATTTATATCTACGTAAGCTCTGTCACGTCTGTGTCATTGCCCAGAACCTTAGCTGAGTTCAATCGATTGATGTACACAATGACATAGACTAGCTTTTATCGATAGCATGTGTTGTATCAATCTACAGGAGACTTAGATATAGACATGTGGCGACATGTTGGCGTTCAAAACAATCCCTTTAGGCCTAAAATACCATAAATATACCTCAATTACATGCTTGCTTTAAATTTTACTTCACAACCCCCTTCCCCTTCTCTTCCTAATGTACATGCATTCGAGACAGACTTAATGGGATTTGGGCGACGTGTTGGGGCTTCTGCTGACAATATTGAGTGTATGAGTCACACATAGAAGTGCAGGCAAACGTTCATGTGTACAAGATGCAGAACCCAATTTGGAGTAACAAGCTTCTTTGTTTAGTAATTTTATTACAAGACGTTGAATTGCAGTATGGAAAAAAGGATAATATATTTTTGATATGTTGATGACAAAATACAGACTGCTAAGCGAAAGTTAAATTGATTACTATGATCTCTATTTATACAAAATTTAATTTTGATATTTCTTTTACTAAGTAGTGTGGCTAACCTTTCAACGTCTCGAGAATGACTATTTAAAACTTTACTAACTTGCCTCTTTTTTTAGGGTTTAAGGATTAATGAATTTTAAACTTATTTATTACTGTTTTTCTTATATACATAAACTGTAAGATGTTATTTACTTGTGCATATGTATATGAAACCTAAAACTTATGGCTCTTTTTTTATACTATCTTATACATAAGAGCTTCACCGCATTGATTCGACAAATTTCATAATTTACTGCATGTGCAAAAACACGGAAAAATAAAAACTAAACACTATCACTAAGCAAAAAGTTTTCAACAAGTTAAATCATTTAAGGCTACAACATTAATCATTTTCTTCTTTGGTTTACTTCTAATTAACTGAGAAATCGGAATTAAATATGCACGAAGAACCCAGCCAAGAAACCAAGAGGAGCTTAAACGTTGGATATGAAAATTACGTATTATCCCCCCCCCCTTCATTCTCTGATAAAGCACCCCAGTGGCACAACAGATAGCCCATTATGTAACTTTGTGCTTAACTACAAACGAACTCAAATATAAAAAAGGTACATATTTCTTCGGATAAAAAAAAAAGAAACACCTAGCAAGCAAAGTAAATTGAATTGCTCGTGCTAACAACACTCGTTAAGTGTCTACAAGTAAATAAAGAAGTCCAAAGAAAGTAAAAGTTTCGGTTTAAAACTTCCAAAGCTAGCGAAGCATAAGACACCAATAGGCCAAAAATATATGATAAAAATCATGCTAACTTGAGATGTTTTTTTAAACACATTCTTCTTAACTTGTCCACTCGTATTCAATATCAGAAGAGTTTAAAGATAGCTCTGAAATGCTATCTTTACACACTTATGATTTTAGATGCGAGATGGACAAATTAAGAATGTGAAAACAAAAACCATCTGAGCGTAAAACTTTGTTTATCGCAATTTTGATTTTCAAAATGAAAAAATTAGCTTTGAATATTTTCTAAAAAATATTTAATTCTAATAACAACTATACTTTTAATATTTTCGTTTTTGCTTTTAGTGTGAAATAAAATGTATCCACAGACAAAATGAAAGTGTAATTTATGATTCATCACTGTAAAAAGCAGAACTTGAATTTAGCTAGAATCAAAATTTACATCTATTAACAAGCAGAGGTAGTTATGCACGGCTGATTACGTTATATCAAAACGATTTTGAATATAGAAATAAACAAGTCAGGAGAAAACTACAGCCAATATAAAGTTACTTAGAATGGAATCTATCAGAACTACATTATAACATCGTTTGGTGTTACGTATGCTGTGTGATACCCTGGAAAATTGATTGTTTTTGGGAAGGGCATGAAACAGCACTTTCTGACACAATATGTTCATATAATCTCATATCATAAAGATGTGTTCAGATTGAGAATTTGGAAAACAAAGAATGGTAAGCAAATTTCGGCATCTTGTAACAAATGAGAATCTATGAACTCAAAAGTTAGTGGCTAAAACCGTCCACATGTTCCTGGCACGTGTACTCAGCATCACTAAATAATGTTTATATTAATTTCTAAACATTATAGAATGTCATAAATGACTTTTCATGGGCCGTATATCCCAATCTTATAATTATTTTAAAGCTTATTTCCTGAGTGATGAATATATTGAAACCGAAAGTACCCGATTTACATTCAACGTTCATAAAATGCCCAATATCTGAATTCTTAGATATTCATACAAATTCAATCGGAATGGAAATACCTTGAGAAAGTTTTTTTCTTTAAACCTGGTAAAATTACTCAATTAACTCTAATGTATAATATGCTTATAATATTTGAATTCAGAAACCTGATAGCTCATTGAATTATAAATACTATTAATTACTCTATTTTTAGGGACTGGTGATTTATATTAGATAGTTGTAACTCCTATGAATTGAATAGTTTAGTTATTGTGTGACAGAAGCACAATTTTCAGAAGACAACTTTTTTATTTAGTAAAAAGTGAGAAGAACAAGAAAAATACTGAAACCAACGGCATATCTGGCTGAGAGTCTAAATGCGAGTTGGATTTTGTTTCTCGATAATATGTAAATCGTTGCCATAATCAACGTTTAATTTGCATTTTTTGTTGATTCTGAGAAAACATTTGACGACGTTGTTCTACATACTTTATAAGGAACATGATAAACATGTCTTAATGGTATAGATTTGCTTTATTAATCAAGTAGAAATGGAGCATTTGCTTCCTTAACTTCTTCCGTTCATTAATTAAATTAAGTCAGTAAATATCAAGTCGTCTTTCAGACCACCAGTTTTAACTGCAGTTTGGCAAAGTTATTACGAGAGAAAATCTACATTATTACTGAGAAAGTCGTTAAACTGAACACTCCTAAAGTTTTGTTATTCAACACGGTTTCAAAAATCTCCTTATCGTTGCCTGTAAAAGTTCTTCTGCTGCATGCAATAAATACTCAACAGGGAAACCAAACTAGTAAAAGTAAGTTTTTATACTTACTTTCTTTCCCAAGTTCCATGGTATATCCGCCTTCAAAACTAGTTCTGAGGAAATGATTTTCTTGGTTTTTATTGAAATTACCATGTTCTTCACGGTTTCTGGACTGAGGGTAAAAAATCAAACAAAATTAATGAGATATATAATGGTTTTAAATAAGAGAAAAATAAAATAAAATTTAGATTTAAATGGTTCCATCCGGAAGTAAAATATTGATATGCTGTCTTCGTTAATGTTTAAACTATTTTTGACTGTTCAACATCACAGAAATACTAGTGGGAACGGGTCCAAATGTCTACAAAAAAACAACGTATTTTCACCATAAAAATATTAATTTTTAAAGCATTTAGATAAATATTTAAATTCATTTATGTTAAAATTTGAAGTTGTAACTTGTTTGTAAAGAAAAAGCTAAGAATCTTTTGAATATATTTCGCTTACAAAAAGTAAAGTTCCATAAATGAGTCACATATAAAAGTAGGAAACTTGAATTATTTATTCTCCTTTTAAACGACCAGCTAAAACAAAACACATATTTGGACGAAATGTTTTTTTGTCACAACTAAATAAATTCTCAGCTGTTTTCTCACGTTTACTTACAAATAGAATGACCCCCCAGTGGCACAGCGGCATGTCTGCGTAGTTACAACGCTAGAATAAGGGTTTCGATACCCGTGTTGGACAGAGTAGTTGGACAATTGTGTAGTTTTGTGCTTAATTACAAAAATAAAAACAAATAGAATGATATGTTAATAAATAATTTATTAACATCTATAATCTTGAGATGTCATTCTCGATTTTCTCGTTCTCATCCTGCAGTAAAATTATTATTGATTATTTGATTCAAGATAGTGTAGCTGAATACATCTGCTATAGACAATCTACAAAATAAATAGTGTAGTGCAGTTTCAGGTTTATCACTATATTCCATAAAAATTTCAAGACTTAGAGAGTTATAAAAAATACTTTATAACTAAATTTAATCAAATACAGATGAAAAGGTATTGCCAGATTTAAACCTAACAACACTTACGGTAAGGGGCTAACAGTCGTGAAAAACATTAGTAGGTTTAAAGTAATTTTGATAAGTGTCTAATTAGAAACTGCATTTATTCTTTAGATAAGTCTTCAAGCACATAGGTTTGAATTTCAGATGCACATTGAAGCCACTGAAGTGGTCTGAGATTTCTCACGGTAATACCAAATCAACTGCACTCTCTGAATATTTAAGCGTGGTTATACATGCATGCTAGTCATCTGTTACTCTATTACTAAGCACATTCATACAGTGATTATAATTTTCGTGTACGTCTGTGTTTTCTGTGGATTATAAATGTTGGTGTCGTGAAAAAAACATGTATTTATCCTGTAACAAAAAGGCTTCGTTTGCAGAAACGCTCTATTCGCGTATCATTCATATAGTCAACTATTTAGAAGCCAGTTAATTGTAACACTCGAACAAATGTCCAGGTGATTAAATGAATTAGGAAAACTAAGTTTAGCTACAGTGCCTATTTGATTCATTTAACTGTTATAAAGATGTACTAATTTTCAATAACGTACGTTTTACATGTTTTTGGAAGTTTAATTATTCTAGGTAGTTCGTTGCACATACACAGTTCAGAATATACTGTATATTAAGCACAGAACTACTAAAGAGGTAGCGATTAAAAAATCTTGATGCAACTGACATGCGTACTTCTTGACTTTCGAAGTTTGAATGCGGATTCATTAAGTCATATATCTTCTTTTTTTTTTAATTAAGACCAAAAGCAATTTTTTGTTTTAGAATTTTTGTGCAAAACAACAAAAAGGGCTAACCTGCACATAATAGTCCTTAATTTTAAAATGACAGATTAGAGGGAAGGCAGCTAGTTAAAAGCCTCCAATGCCAACTCTTGGACTACCCCTATCTTATAGAATAGTGGGATTTTTACTGTCATTTTTATAACGCACCGAAGGCCCTAAAAGGCATTTTGCAGCTACACATTCCGAGTACGCTAATCATTAACTCACGCTTTACCATTAGAGGAAGAAATAAAAATTAATACCTGGGTAGAAAGTATTTAATTGGAACACTATTGATAAAATTGTCTGCGGATGCACTGTATACAAAACGAGAATAATCATACCAGTGATCGAAACGTCATACCCATTTTATAAACATTCTTCCTTACTGTAGAAATTGTAACTTGTAATAAAATAATAATGAATATTTTAAAAAGATTCTGTGATTAAAATGTTAGTGAATGTTTTGGTCAGATTCAACGAGTCTCTCTCATTGATTTGCGATATGAAATAATATAATATACTGGTAAAATAGAAATATCAATCATTCTCGCAAAACTTCATGATTAGAAGCCAATAAAGTTCGAACATCGTAAATATCAGAAACGACTATATTTGCATAGTTAACAAAATAATTAAGTAGCCAGATGGCATGTGCCACAGTAAGTATGAACCATATCTGCACAACATATCCCAGCTGTACCTTAAGAAGTATTTAAATTTGACAAATAACTTGCCAAACTATGTAAATTAAAACGTTTTTCTGCCTCTCTTCAGCTTTAGAAAGTAACACAAAAATGCCCTTACAGCTCATTTATTGAAAAATGGTACGTCATATCTGACATTTAATCAATTGTAGTTCAACGCCATAAACAACTGCTAAATCACGTGACTTTTAAATCAACGATATTCTGACATTTGTACATTTTAGGAACAGAATGTGCAAATTCCGTAAAGTTTTATAATATAAAATTTATTTTAAAACAAAGTTATCAGTAAGAAATGGAATAAAGAAACGTTTATTTGTTTTAGAGAAAAGCCACATTGAGCTATTTGCTGTGTCCACCGCGGGAAATCGAATCTTGGATTTTAGGGTTGTAAGTCAGTAGACTTATCGCTGTCCCACCATAGGATAAGCAAACGTTAAATAGTTTATACTATTATAATTAATTTGTTCTCAATGTTTATAATCTTTTAATAATTTACCAGTCCCTATTTCTGTTATTTATTGTGTTCGGTGTAGCAGGTGTAGTACATATCTATACATACATACAATAAATATATTCAAGTGTGTATATATGAGACATATCATTTTACTTTTTGGAGATATATTCTTAATTGAAATGAAAAAAATAATAAACGACAAGAAAATCGTATTTCGATGTACATTTCACCCATGGAAATATTTTGTACTACCGAAAACAGCTTAACACAATTCAATAACATACACAATATTATTAAAATTACACACACGCATACACGTCTTGAGATTGATTTACGAAAAAAAACATTATAAAAAGGACTTCATTGCTGAAGAAAAAAATAAGGATTTACATAGCAAAAAAAATTATATATATAATATTATTCAATTGACATTAACTTTTTGTAAGAGCGATCTACCTACTTAAAACAAAATAAGGTTAACCTGGAAAAGAGTATAGATAATTATAGCTAACTGAATATATGACTTACGTTCTTACTTATAAAGATTAGAATGCAATGTTTCATCAGTTGGGTCAATAAGAGACTGGCCAGTTGGTATCGAAACAAATAACAAGACATGACAGATAAGGCTCTTACTAAATAATTAAATGCATTTGTACATAGAATATAGCATGTAGGATAGTTAACCAGCATCAACAGAAACAAATAAATACACTGAGGAATAATTCCGAACGTGGTAAGAAATCCACCGAAGTCGTGAACTATTCAACCTCAACTGTTGTTTTCTAAAGCAGGATTCGGTTAAGGAAACTATCTGTTGTTTCACGATTCACAGTTTTGTAATGTATCCTACATCAACTGTGTGTTTGTGTATATGAGACTGATTTACGATTGGTAGAAGTCTCTGGATTCAAATCATCCAATTTTGGGATTGGCCAACTACAGAAAGAAAATGTTTATTCTGAGGAAGCAGTCTGTCATTTTCAGTCCAACTTAATATGCATACTGCTGACCGTGTGTATTTTATGTGTTCTAACCCTTGCTTCTAAACCAGTCAGCAATCCTAAATTCAGTTTGCAATACAGCATATTATTTTATTATTCAAATACAATCTCTTCTTGTTTTAATCCCAATCAGGTTACATAATCTAATAATAAAAAATAGTAATATTCTACCACCAGACAATCAACCTTACTGTCAACTTTTTTGCTTCTTGTCAGTAGTATTTCTATTCATTTATCTCAACACCGAGCCTTGTCTCCTTACACTTGCAACAAATCATTATACTTGTTATTTCAAATAATAGATCCATGAATAACTTGCTATTGCAGAGGTCAGGTAAGTGTGTGCTTAGTTCTTCTTGAATCTTGCAATATTGAAGATTACCAATCAACAGTAAACTCAGGATGTCGTTTACCAGAGTCTAGTTATTGCAGAAGTTGAGTTTTTGATTCCTCTTCCGTACTTTTTGTATAATACCAACCCAGAGATATGCCTGCAATATTGTAATACCTACGTGAAAAAAGGAAGAGAGCTAAATTAATCTGAAGGTGGAATCATAGAAATCCCTTGATTGATATGTGAAAATTCTCTGTTGCATTTGGAGAGCTTCCTAGGGCTTCAAAATGTGTCCATATTTTTATGCTTTTCTCAGCCACCAAGATAACTGAACCACAATTTAGTCCACAGAAATGCTGATAATATCGTTATGGTGCAGATCAGCCTGTGCAAAGACCATCACAAAGAGTAACCATTAGAGTCATGCTGAGACCTCCTAGAATGATCTTTGCAGCAAACCACATAGATTACCTTCTTGAAGCTATATGTTGGTGGACATCTTAACAAAGTTTAGGGATGAGGTGCAACGCACCTTGCTCATCACTATACAGCATGGTCACTATCATGCCAAGTGAAAGATATACCCTGGATTAGCCGGTAACCCTCGAAAAAAGGTGTTGATGCAATTTACTGACATGAATATTGTGCTTAAGTAGACATGAGCAACACAAGTAGTGATGCCACAGCTATGATGATGCATTACTCAAGCGATAAGAAGAGGGAATTTAACATTTGGAAGAATGAAAGAATTCTGGTCCTAGAGAGTCAGAACTGATATTTTTGATGACGCTTTATCCACATTCATTTATGCTTAAT